GGGAGGGGCTTTGAAACCGCCATTGAACACACCGTTGATTTTTCAGGCTGAATTTGACAAGCAGAGAATCCATCTGAACAGCCGCTTTCCAGGGACTGAGCGACTTCCCAACACCTGCAACTTTTCCATCCGGGGACCCCAGCTCCAAGGTGAGCAGGGTCTGTAGGTCCCGCGTGGGGTGGTGGGGGCGGTGGGAGCAGACGGGGCTGCGCCGAGCGCTTGGTGCCCCGGCCAGTGCGGGCACCGGGAGCGGCGCAGCCTTGCTGTCCCCAGGAGGCTGGGCCCCTGTGTGCCGCTTCCTGCTCTCCCTGCCTGGGCTCACTGCTCTGGGCAGGTGGCACCCTGGGCGAAGCGCCTGCCCCAAGCTGATGGGGAATGAGGTGACAGGGACTAGGCTTTAGATCCGCTTGTCCATTTCTGTCAGCTTTAAAATTTGGCCCAGAGTCAGGACGAAATGCACGTCTGTGGGGTTCGTTCGTTCCTGCGATGACAGGTCTCTCCTGCTGGAAACCCAGGGATGAAAATCAGGCCTGGCTCCCCCAGTGCCCTGAGGCCAGTTCCAGGGCGCTGACCTGCCTTGTTTCCCAGCACAGGGGAGCCTCTCTGCAGAGCAGTCCTGACTGTGTAGGGAGGAGGTGGTTGCCCCCTGGGCAGGGAGGAGTGCAGCCCTTCTGCACCATGTAGGGGGGTGGCTGCACTATGTAGGGGGGCGGGGGCCACAGCCGTGACCACAGCGGATGGGAACCTGGGCTGGATGCTTTCTCGCTGCGAAGGAGCTTAGGCTGTTGGCTGCCTCTCCGGCTCGCCTTGCTGTGGGAAAGAAAGTTCCTGTCACCTTCCCCATTTTTTGGGGGCAGATGTACTGTATTCAGTGATGACCTATGTTAATTTAAATGAGACAGATTTTTTTGTTGTTGTTTATTTTTGAGACGGAGAGAGACAGAGCATGAGCAGGGGAGGGGCAGAGAGAGGGGGAGACACAGAATCCGAAGCAGGCTCCAGGCTCCGAGCTGTCAGTGCAGAGCCTGATGCGGGGCTCAAACTCAGAGATTGCAAGATCATGACCTGAGCTGAAGTCAGACGCTCAACCGACTGAGCCCCCCAGGCACCCGAGATTGTTTTTTTAATTAAGTCAGTAGATTTATTATTTTAATCTCTGTGCTTACAAAAGAAAAGGAAGTGCCTTCCTTAATAAAGCCACCCCCCTGGGTGGCTCCACCTCCAGAAAACACAGATGTTACGTTGAAGTGTTACTACCGGGAAGTGTTACTATTAAGGAAGGCAGCTGCTGAGAATTCTGAGCATCCTTCCTGGGCACTTGATCGGAAGTAACGTTTCGAGGGCAGTTTTATGAGGCAGCATCGTGTGCGAGAGGAGCCATTTTCTCTGGGTTTTGCTGCCCGGTCACCTAGGATGAGAGGGTCCTGTGCCCTGGAACCACCCCGCCCCCCCAGGTGGCCTGAGGGGGGTGGCCTCAAAACGTGGCAGGAGGGCCGAGAAGAGGTGGACAGGTGGGGCCCGCCTGCACCATCCGTCTCAGAGCCGCGTGCCGTGTCTCCGCAGGCCGTGTGCTG